CAAACTCTTGGTCTGGGCCTAAACCTCGATGAGACGGCCCTTGCCGCCATCGCCGCCCATGTTACTCCCCCTGCCCGTCAGGCACTCCAACCGCCGCCCGTACTTGCGGCCTACCTAGAGACAAAGAACTCTTTCGCCCCATTAGAAATGGAGTACGCATGCTCCGAGTCCTCTGCATCGGCCTCCCGGAAGAGGCCCGCCACCAATTCTGGCACCGGCTCATCGGAGTCCTGTGACTCCGACGGAACCGGGGATTCTTCGTTCACCACGGTGAACTCCAAGCGCAACGGTAAACGCGCCGCTAAAAACCGTACCCTCCCTGTCTCAGCGGCCCCTGCCGCTCCTTCAACCTCCGCAGCTCCCGCTGCCGCCTCTGCCCCCGCAGCCCCCGCCGCTGCCTCAGCCCCACTTATGTCACTAGACATTCCCGCTCCGACCAAGCCAGCCTCTCGCTGTTCTCCAGTCCTTGCCAAGAAGCAAGTCCCGCCCCCTGTCTTCCTAAGAGACAAGGCTAAATTCACAGAACTCTCCAAAACCTGCTACAACGCAGGCATAAAATATGACCACGCCATCAACCTCGGGGAAGCTATTAAGATCATCCCCCAATCAATCGACGACTTCCGGCGACTCACCAGGCTATTCACAGCCGAACGAGTTTCTTATCATACATACGCTCTTCCGGAAGAGCGCAAAGTCAGGGCCGTCATCCGCGGCGTCCCCTTCGAATTTTCAAACGAAGAAATCCTTGAGGACCTTAAGTCCCAAGGTTTCCCCGTAGAAGCCGTGCACAAAATGCACAGTAGAACAGGCCAGAGGTTCTCTCTTGCCCTAGTAATTTTAACCAACGTGCCGGAGGCGAAAGCCATCTTCCGGCAGGTACGCACAGTGTGCGGCCTGTCGAGAGTGAGGGTTGAGCCTCCACATAGGCGCGGGTTCCCGGCGCAGTGCCACCGCTGCCAGCTGTATGGTCATGCGGCGGCCAACTGCTCCGCCCCACCCAGGTGCGTTAAGTGCCTTGAACCCCACAACACTAAAGAGTGTCCTCGGCCCAAAGACGCCGAATCCCCACCCGCGTGTGTCCTGTGTAAACAAACGGGCCACCCGGCTAACTACAGAGGCTGCCCTTGCGCACCTCATCCTCGCCCCAGTAGGCAAGCTCCACCGCCGGTCAATGACCGCTCATTCCCGGCTCTTTACCAACGGATGCCCCGTCAGGGCCTTTCTCAGCCCACCCAGGGCTTCTCTCGACCCTCTCAGGGTCCTCCTAGGCCCCCTCAGGGCACTATTCGGCCCCCTCCGGGCTTCTCTCAGCCTATGCAGCCTCCAGTTTTTCCCTGGGGCCCCAAAAAGGCAGTACCACCGCGGACATCCTCCGCCCCTCAACCACAACAATCACAGCCCTCAATGGCTGATGACCTAAAAACGGTGTATTCCGCAATTAGGAACATCAACGTTGAGGAAATCGCTGTGTTAGCACGCAAATTGCGCGCTGCGAGGTCCCCTCAGGACCGTCTCCTCGCTCTTGCAGAGCATCATAATCTTTTGTGCTCATTGTAAGTTAAGTTAACTTAATTAACTTAACTCACAATGACAGAGCAGTTTGCTCTACCAAAATCCCACGGTCGTATCAAACCTAAGGGTTTATCGCTTGTATCCTTTAACATTCGCGGTTTGCGAAATAACCTCCCAGAGCTTAAGCTCTTTCTTCAAAATCGTGAAACCGATTTCCTCCTCCTACAGGAAACTAATCTCAATACTAAGGACACTAAAGGCCTTTCCATCAAAAACTTCTCTCTTCTTCGTAATGATAGACCCGACCGCCGAGGCGGCGGTACGGCCATTTATTACAAGAAGACACTTCACTGTTCTCCCATTTCTACTCCGCAACTTTCCAACATGGAAGCCACGGTATGCAGGCTAGCTATGACTGGACATCAGTCCATCTTCATAGCCTCCTGTTACATCCCTTCTAAAACCCTTCCCCTCAAAAAAGATTTTGAGGCTATTTTATCTCTAGGCAATTCAGTCATTATGTTTGGAGATTTTAACTCCAAGCATACTGAATGGACATGCCGTACTACCACCCGTAGTGGCAAGTTACTGCTCGATATCACGCAGTCTCTTGATATTACCGTCCACAGTCCTCTCGGTGTTACTCACTTTCCCGATAACACCGACTATGCCCCCGATGTACTAGATTTTGCGTTACTCAAAGGAGTTTCTCTCAACCTTAGGGCAATCGAGACACTAGACGATCTAGGATCCGACCACCGACCGGTCTCTCTCATTCTTGGCCATCAGCCACCACTCCCAACACCCTCTACTAAAACCTTCACAAATTGGAAGGGCTTCAAGGAGTCCCTAGCGAAAGCTCTGGACTCACAGGACTCCCCCATCTCCCTATCTTCGGACTTAGACAGTCCTGAAAAAATCGACACCGCGGTCGATTCACTCTCCACCCTTATTAAAACCTCCCTTAAGGAGAATGAAAGGGTCGTCCCGGTTGCTAATAATAGTGGGCTTCCCCTGCATATTAGCAACCTATTAAAAGCCAAAAAAGCTGCTTTCCGGAGAGCAGCAAAATATCCCACGCCCGAATATAGGCGCACGGCCAATCGTCTTCAACGAGAACTCCGTTTCCGCCTCTCTGAATTTCGAGACCTCGAAAAGAGTAAGCTCATGGAGAATATCTCTCCCTCTCATACAGCGTACTATCAGATGGCAAGAGCCCTCCGCATAGACGCTATCTTCCACACTCCCCCTCTCTCCCGTCCCGACGGTACGGTAGCCTTCGAGGACGAGGAAAAGGCTGAGTGCTTTGCAGACAGCATTGCCGCTCAATGCTCTCCTAGCTCTCAACCCGTAGACCCCTCACACGTCCAGGCAGTGGAGGATGAGGTCCGCCGCCGGAACTCGCCCCCTACAGCCTCCGAACCTATCTCTGTGTCCAATGATGAGCTTTCATCCCTCATCAAAGGACTTAAGCCTAAAAAGGCTCCGGGCGCGGATGGCATCTCCAACCAAGCCCTAAAAAACTTTCCTGAGCAGGTGCTAACCCTTTTATCTATTATCTTCAATGCCTGCTTCAACCTTAGTTACTTTCCCACTACGTGGAAAGAGGCAACTGTGATTGGTATTCCCAAGCCAGGCAAGCCTCTTAATCTCCCCTCCAGTCATCGTCCCATTAGCCTCCTCAAGGCCATGGGCAAGCTCTTTGAAAGAGTCATTCAAAATCGCATGAGGCGCCATCTGTTTCCCACAGACGGTGACCCTCTTATCATTCCCCATCAATTCGGTTTCCGAGCGAAACACTCCTGCCCCCAACAAGTTCACCGTATTGTGGAATATATCCTCAGCGGTTTTTATCCCCGTCGTCATAAGACTATCGCGGTCTTTTTCGACATCGCCAAAGCCTTCGATAGAGTCTGGCATACAGGCCTTATCTACAAACTATACAAAATAGGTCTCCCCGATCGTCTAGTACGTCTCGTGGCCTCTTATCTTAATCATCGTACCTTTCGTTTTAGACACGAAGGCACGCTATCTTCACAGCGCCCCATCAAAGCTGGTGTCCCTCAGGGCTCAGTTCTTGCTCCTCTGCTGTACATACTGTTCACCAACGACATTCCCATTCCGCCGAAAGGTGTTCAGCTCTCCCTCTTCGCAGACGACACTGCTCTCTACTGCAAAGGTATCTCGCTACCTTTCATACGGAACAAGGTCCAAAAGTCAGTTGATGACCTAGGAGCTTGGTTCAAAAAATGGCGCATCGATGTGAACCCGGAGAAGCTCCGGCTCCGGCTCCGCCGTTCACTTCGATTATAAACGACGCCGTCTCAAAAACACTCCACCAATACGTATGCTAGGGACCCCTGTCCCCTGGCATACGTCTGCCAAATATTTAGGTGTCACTCTAGACACAGGGCTAACTTTCAGGCCCCACGTCAAAAGAGTAACCCGTCACGCACGTTTTTACCTGAATAGGCTCAACAGTATGTTGGGCCGACACAGTAAAATGTCCCTCAGAAACAAGCGTACCCTTTATAAGGTCTGTATACGACCAGTCATGTCCTACGCGGGCCCCATTTTCGCCCACTCTAACCCTAAAATTATTAATGAACTCCAAGTAGTTCAAAACCTTTTCTGTCGTCGAGCTGCGAACGCACCTTGGTACGTCCGCAATGCCGACCTTCATCGGGACCTAGAGCTCCCTACAATTCAACAATTCCTTAAAAAACTCTCTGAGAACTTCTTCAAAGCCTCAGAGTCGCATTCCAATCATTTTATTCGTGAGGCTGCTAATTATGCAGCCCCACTCCCCTCCCGCTATAGCGTCCGCAGGCCGAGGAACTCCCTCTCGGACCCGCCTAATAAACTTTCAAACGACCTGAACTGCCTCCTGGCGGCTCAGGCCAACTCTAATTAAGTTATTCATAATTAATTTGCCTTCCCAGGCACTCCCTCAGCGGCTTATAGCCGCCTGCGCCCTCTTTTCCCAAAAGAGGGTCGCTTTACGATACGGCATGTGAAGCTTTCAACAGCTGGTTGCCAGTCCCCAAAGGCAGTTTTTAGAGGGTATCACTTAGGTTCCCCCTTGTAGGTAGTGAGTCCCTCATAACCACGATGGACCGGCCATCGTGGTATGCGTAATGCATTTTCTGCCTCCCTTCGGGGTAGCCCTTTTCCAATTGCTTCGGGCGCAAAAAAAAAAAAAAAAAAAAAAAAAATTTAAAAAAATTAGAGCCCTGCGTCCGATGAAGCTGTAAGAACCGCATAGGTTAACAGCGTTAACATCACAGAAAATAGTTAAAAAAATTAGTTTATATCGGTGTTGACGTCGTCTATATAGAGACGAGTGTTTAATTTTCTACATATCTAGAATTTTATTATTACGTATTAACGACAATGTCTGGACGTGGTAAAGGCGGTAAAGTGAAGGGAAAGGCAAAGTCCCGTTCGAATCGTGCCGGTCTACAATTCCCCGTTGGACGTATTCACAGGCTGCTGCGAAAGGGAAATTATGCAGAGCGTGTGGGTGCCGGCGCTCCGGTGTACCTGGCCGCAGTCATGGAGTACCTCGCCGCTGAAGTTCTAGAGTTGGCCGGTAACGCTGCTCGGGACAATAAGAAGACCAGAATCATACCGAGACATCTTCAGCTTGCCATCCGCAACGATGAAGAGTTGAACAAGCTCCTCTCCGGTGTGACGATCGCCCAGGGCGGTGTACTACCCAACATTCAGGCGGTCCTTCTTCCCAAGAAGACCGAGAAGAAGGCCTAAACGAGTGTGTACACTACTCCCGTCGCATTACTACACCACACCACTAGGCCCAAGAAAATGGTTGAGAACATTAGACGAGAGTATGCGTCGACGTTTTATCGATCGGTAATGCCCTAATTGTACTATATACGTATTGCATATTCTGTTTTACGCTCCTTAGTATAATAATGGTGCATTCGCCGTCCGTCGACTCGCGTGTCTCTACTGCTCTATTGCTATCTACCGTTCGTGGTGGTACGTGATTAAAAGGCCCTTTTGAGGGCCACAAATACTATCGATAATTTATAAATTTAGTCTCTTAGAATGCGAACGTTCTTTAAAGCCTCTTTCCTCAGTTCCTCCTATCCTATCCTATACCTTATTCCTTTTTGTACGCTATTACTTTATATTGGTAATGGTAACGATAAGACTAGAGCCATATTTATTATGAATTAATAATAATCAATAGACTAAAAGGTAAAAAAAATATTTTTTTTTTTTTTTTTGAAGAGAAACATATATTAATACTTACCGTTCAACATATTATGTAGTAAAAATCTCTTATGAACTTCACCGTTGCCGTTGGCTTTAGATGGATTAGAGGATTGCCTCGCCGCGATAAATGGACTCAATGTATTATGTTAATTATAAATTTAAATGCATTATTAAAACATTATCAGTAGTTAATTTTATTATTATAAAATATTCGATAATGATTTATTTTATTAAATTAATTAAAATAATTGGGTATTAGTATAATTATATATTACTTATATTGGAATGTTTAATAAAATAAAAATTGCGTTCTTTCTAAACTAATCTTCCGTCCGTATTCCCCTACTCTCTACCCTGCCCCTTCCATTTGTCCGGGCAAACTGGTCGTTGATTGGTTGATCTACACTCGATACGCTCGTTAGACCACTAGCTAGTAGAGTCACCGTGATAGTCGTTATATAAGAAAAAAAAAATGTTCAGTGATAATTTAGTATTATCCGTGATCACATTTACATTAAATATTCTTCAAGATGCCGCCGAAAACTAGTGGTAAAGCCGCCAAGAAGTCTGGTAAGGCACAGAAAAACATCTCCAAGTCGGATAAGAAGAAGAAGAAGCACAAGAGGAAGGAAAGTTACGCCATCTACATCTACAAAGTGCTCAAGCAGGTGCATCCCGATACTGGTATATCCAGTAAAGCGATGTCCATAATGAACTCTTTCGTTAACGACATCTTCGAACGCATAGCCGCAGAGGCCTCGCGCTTGGCTCATTACAACAAGCGTTCGACTATTACTTCACGGGAAGTGCAGACCTCCGTGAGACTGCTGTTGCCCGGTGAACTCGCCAAGCACGCCGTGTCAGAGGGCACCAAGGCAGTCACCAAATACACCAGCTCCAAGTAAGGTCGGTGATTGGTGTGTTTTAGGTGTATTTCAAAGGCCCTTTTCAGAGCCACAAAATATATCGTATTACTATCAGTTTCTCATAATAACGTCACCCTACATCTCGCTCGTTCGTCCGCTACGCTAAGAGTATTCTTTTATAGATAGACCTCGCATGCAAATGTACAATTTTAAAATAAACTTACATACAACTAATACATAAAAGGATACGAAAAAAAAAAAATAATAATAATAAAGAGATCTTATTTGAAATTACGTAAAATAAATTTAGAATAGTCTACTTAATAACTAGAAATCTGCTATAATACGCGCCTATGAGAGCTTAATAACTATTAGAAATAATTATAACCTACAATTTAAGACACAAACGATATTTTTATTACAAGGAGTATATTTTGAGCAAGATATTAGTGATTTCATATGAAATTAAGACCTCGAGGGTTCTCTATAATGCAAATATCATAATATTGTATATTATTATTATTTAAAAGTTTTTTAATACGATTGCTTGGTCTACCCGATATTCACGATGAAGTAAAAACGGAGAGGGGGGGGGGGGGAAGGAAAAGAGATGGGTAGAGAAGTCTCGCCTGTAACCGCACATTTGTCGACCATATAAAAGCGTCGCCACTCGCGACGATTTCGCCCTAAAAAACTTTCCTGAGCAGGTGCTAACCCTTTTATCTATTATCTTCAATGCCTGCTTCAACCTTAGTTACTTTCCCACTACGTGGAAAGAGGCAACTGTGATTGGTATTCCCAAGCCAGGCAAGCCTCTTAATCTCCCCTCCAGTCATCGTCCCATTAGCCTCCTCAAGGCCATGGGCAAGCTCTTTGAAAGAGTCATTCAAAATCGCATGAGGCGCCATCTGTTTCCCACAGACGGTGACCCTCTTATCATTCCCCATCAATTCGGTTTCCGAGCGAAACACTCCTGCCCCCAACAAGTTCACCGTATTGTGGAATATATCCTCAGCGGTTTTTATCCCCGTCGTCATAAGACTATCGCGGTCTTTTTCGACATCGCCAAAGCCTTCGATAGAGTCTGGCATACAGGCCTTATCTACAAACTATACAAAATAGGTCTCCCCGATCGTCTAGTACGTCTCGTGGCCTCTTATCTTAATCATCGTACCTTTCGTTTTAGACACGAAGGCACGCTATCTTCACAGCGCCCCATCAAAGCTGGTGTCCCTCAGGGCTCAGTTCTTGCTCCTCTGCTGTACATACTGTTCACCAACGACATTCCCATTCCGCCGAAAGGTGTTCAGCTCTCCCTCTTCGCAGACGACACTGCTCTCTACTGCAAAGGTATCTCGCTACCTTTCATACGGAACAAGGTCCAAAAGTCAGTTGATGACCTAGGAACTTGGTTCAAAAAATGGCGCATCGATGTGAACCCGGAGAAGAGCTCCGCCGTTCACTTCGATTATAAACGACGCCGTCTCAAAAACACTCCACCAATACGTATGCTAGGGACCCCTGTCCCCTGGCATACGTCTGCCAAATATTTAGGTGTCACTCTAGACACAGGGCTAACTTTCAGGCCCCACGTCAAAAGAGTAACCCGTCACGCACGTTTTTACCTGAATAGGCTCAACAGTATGTTGGGCCGACACAGTAAAATGTCCCTCAGAAACAAGCGTACTCTTTATAAGGTCTGTATACGACCAGTCATGTCCTACGCGGGCACCATTTTCGCCCACTCTAACCCTAAAATTATTAATGAACTCCAAGTAGTTCAAAACCTTTTCTGTCGTCGAGCTGCGAACGCACCTTGGTACGTCCGCAATGCCGACCTTCATCGGGACCTAGAGCTCCCTACAATTCAACAATTCCTTAAAAAACTCTCTGAGAACTTCTTCAAAGCCTCAGAGTCGCATTCCAATCATTTTATTCGTGAGGCTGCTAATTATGCAGCCCCACTCCCCTCCCGCTATAGCGTCCGCAGGCCGAGGAACTCCCTCTCGGACCCGCCTAATAAACTTTCAAACGACCTGAACTGCCTCCTGGCGGCTCAGGCCAACTCTAATTAAGTTATTCATAATTAATTTGCCTTCCCAGGCACTCCCTCAGCGGCTTATAGCCGCCTGCGCCCTCTTTTCCCAAAAGAGGGTCGCTTTACGATACGGCATGTGAAGCTTTCAACAGCTGGTTGCCAGTCCCCAAAGGCAGTTTTTAGAGGGTATCACTTAGGTTCCCCCTTGTAGGTAGTGAGTCCCTCATAACCACGATGGACCGGCCATCGTGGTATGCGTAATGCATTTTCTGCCTCCCTTCGGGGTAGCCCTTTTCCAATTGCTTCGGGCGCAAAAAAAAAAAAAAAAAAAAAACGACGATTTCAGTATCCCGCGCGTTGAGAACGTATAGTCGTATAGTGAATATATTGTGTATTAGTTGAGTTAGTGTAACGTAACAATGGCACGTACTAAGCAGACCGCTCGGAAATCCACCGGTGGTAAAGCGCCGCGTAAACAACTGGCCACCAAAGCAGCCCGTAAGAGCGCACCAGCAACCGGCGGTGTTAAGAAACCACATCGCTACAGGCCCGGTACCGTCGCTCTCCGTGAGATTCGTCGCTACCAGAAGAGCACCGAGCTCCTCATCCGCAAATTGCCGTTCCAACGTTTGGTGCGTGAAATCGCTCAGGATTTCAAGACCGACCTCCGCTTCCAGAGCTCCGCCGTGATGGCCCTTCAAGAGGCTAGCGAAGCTTACCTAGTCGGGTTGTTCGAAGATACCAACTTATGCGCGATTCATGCAAAACGCGTAACCATTATGCCGAAAGACATACAGTTGGCGCGCAGAATTCGCGGGGAACGAGCTTAATAAACTCTACTCTACCGATTGTGTTGTGAACTACGTTTAATTTTTAACATCAATCATCGATTGGCAGTGTGAAAGTGGCAATATTAAATATGCCTCATTAACAACAACTACACGTTGACAAGATGATGATGATTGTGTTGGTTTTAACGTATGTTCTCTTTCACTTTCATAAAAGGCCCTTTTCAGGGCCGCATATGTTTCTACACAATAAACTGTGCGTTTCTTTAGAATATAAGAGAACGTTAAACGAGCAAGTAATAGATAGATAGATATATAGATAGATAGTATGGTATGGTAATATTATGAGATAACAACAAAAACATAATATCGAATTAAGGGCTCAGCAAATCGAAATGTTTATTTAGATACCGTTTAAATAAATTAATAGATAGATGTACTAATCTAGTATAATAGACGACAAACTGTATACTATTTAACATCATAAGATACACAGTAGGGTAAAGCTTACCTGTCTCACGACGGATGATCATTCATCACCATCATCGACGATCGGCGCCGACGATGCCTGCGCCGCCGCTGCCCGCGAAGTCTACCACCACCAATGTTCACGCGCAGAACGCTTCTGTTAGTTAGGATACAGTTTTTTTTTTTTTTTTTAATAAATAAAAATCTTCGTCTTCATAATAATATAAATTATAATATCTTACTTTGGATAATCATATTAAATGAAGTGATACAAAATAGAAAACGACATGTTTCGACAATAATATTATCTGTACTTTATATACACCTCGTTCACCCCGCGACATTATTTCATGGCGGGCTTTGAGT